CCCCCCCCTCTCTCTCTCTAACTTGTGTGGATGATTTGGTTTCTCTCTCTGAAAAGGGTAGGTTTTGTTCTTGTGAGGTTGTAGGAAGGGAAAGGGGGAGGACTCAACCTTTTTATCCTTACAAACATCAACTTATAACATGCCAAAAATATAACCTTTATTATTTAAAAATATTATGGAATTTCTAGAATCTTTTTAGAGTGAAATTTGCTCCCTAGGGTTTGTCTAAAAGACATTTCATCCTTACACTTTTTTGGAATCGTTGTTTATAGAACCGATCGGATTTTGTTTATCCTTCTAACGATCGTTAAAAAATAGATTAAGTAAAAAGTATTTTCATTCTTCTTTCGATTTTTTTTAATGTTTTACCCAATCAAAATTATTTATATGATTTTGACCATGTGGTTTTTTATTGATTAAAAGACAAAAAGATTGATAAAAAAGATTAAGAGTTTTTTTCATTTAATGGAATCTTTAATGACCATTGAAGGGAGGACGTTTTTACAAACCACAATGATAATCTTGTAATTTCGCAACTGCATAAATGAAAAGTATTATTTCATACGGACAAGGATGGATTTGACTGGTCAAAAATTGCAGCTTTAATTGATCAAAATTTGTAGATATGCAAAAAATAGAGAAGTTGGTTTCGTAAGTTTTACAAATAGGCGGCAAACGGGTTCATATGTAACCCTGTGTAATTCACATATGAACTAATATCTTTGAACACGTGTAATTCATATATGAACTATTTTAACTAATTCATATATGAGCATGTGTAATTCAAATATGAAATAATTAACTAATTCATATATAAAACTTTGTGATACACATATGAATTAATTAACTGGTTCACATATAAATCTGTGGGTTCATATATGAATCAGTTAAGTAGTTCACATAAACTGATTCACATATGAACCCAACATATAATTCATATGTGAATCATACGGGTTAACATATAAGCTCGTTTGTCGCCTATTTGTAAAATGTACGAAACTCCTTCTCTATCATCTGCATACTCATGCGAGAAATTATTCGATAATTCTCAGTCAAAGGCACAAATGTTGTCCAAATAAAGAGTTTGGATCACTTTTACTTCTCAAATACTTAACACTTCTCAAGTGGACCTTTCCATACATACATACATACATACATACATACATACATACATACATACATACATACATACATACTAGAAGGGTACTTGCTTAATGCAGTGATATAAATCTTGATTTTAATGTTTAGTTTTTATTCTTTGTCTCTATCGATATAATACGATTTTATGTGGTTTTGAAAAAACGATAATGTTTTTATTTTTGAATGAAATATAAATTTAAAGATAGGATAATTTAAAAAAAATCGATATTAGTATTAAATTAACTATTTAATAGTTCTCGTTTTTTTGGTATAACTTCTTTAATTCAATTTTTATTATAATTTAATTTATATTTAATAGCAAAGTAATTTATTTTTTATTTAACAATATAATTTTTTTTAAGATAATAATTAAAATTCTGTTAAAATTTTATCTTAATTATATATTAGATTTTCTATATTTTAAAATGAATGTTTATCATGTATTTGATTATGTTTATCTGCAATTAGTTACACGAATTTAAAAATGGAGTTTTAATAAGTTGTATTTATGCAAAATTACTTGTAATTTTAAATTTTAAGTAATATACATCAATAAACAATACTTCATGCATAAAAAAATGGTTTTTAAAATTTTTTATCAAATGGTTTATAATATAGTATATATATATATATATAGTTAGGTTTGGGTTGAAAATGAGAGTTATGTTGAAAATGTAACAAGGAATCTTCACCCTTGAATTAAAATCAATTAAAAAGTTCTACTATTAGATCAATACTAATGAAAAATATTAGGTCAATTATTTTCTAAAGCATAATTTATTGGTTGGTTTAAAATTAAAATTGATCATGATTGAAATCCCTTTTTATATTTCTTACATTAACTCTTATTCCCAGACGATTATTTATCCTTATATATTACTAACGAAGTTTGACTACTTGTTATGAAATAATTTAGTGAACAAATAATCACAAATCTAAATAAATAAACACGACAGTTCATTTAGTTTTTTATACCTTAATTTTAATGTTTTAAAGCAAGTTTTCTTGGCCCATATATATGATCGGGTTCTAGATTTATCAAAAAAGCAAGATTATATATATATATATATATATATATATATATATATATATATATATATATACTAATTAATGTTTGTGGCAAAATGTGTATAATCGCAGTTAAAAGTATAAGGATCATTATGACATGACCACATGTAGTTGGTAAGGTTTTCAAAGTTAATTATTACATGCTATTTCCTTAGATATTAAAGTGATATATATGCATCCATGTGTTTACAAGATTAAAATATAATTTTAAATTTATAATGAAAAATTATACTCCCATGTATTACTAAGGCTTAACATTAATTTGTATTGTATTTAAGTATATTTATACAATATATATGTATATATATATATAATGGAAATTTAAATTTAAAAGATTAATTAAACATTAATATAATAACACCTAATTCTTAATAAAAAAAATTAAGGATCAAATTATTTATTATATACTAGAAGGGTACTCGCGCAATGCAGCGAGATACATCTTGATTTTAATATTTCATTTTATTCTTTATCTCAATTGATGTTATAATATGGTTTTATGTGATTTTGAGAAAAACGATGATGTTTTTATTTTTGAATAAAATATAAGTTTGAAGATATCATAAAAATTTGACAAAAATATATCGATATTAGTATCAAATTAACTATTTGAAATTCCTCATTTTTGTATAATTTTTTAATTCAATTTTTTTATAATTTAATTTATGTACAATAACGAAGTAATTTATATTT